TTCTTTAGTGAGTCTTCTGGAATAAAGAATCGAGTCAAGATGTCTAAGAATTTTATTCTTTACAAAGTGTCAGACAAACATACAGAGGTGCAACCAGTAAAGTATTTCCTTTCCCTCAGTTCTGGTTTATATAGCATAGAGCATATCTGCCCTAAATGGTAGGTTTTGTCTCTTTTATTCGATTTCGCAGGAAACATATTTCAACCCATTTATCAAATTGTCCCATAGATGTTTTATCTTTCTCAGTCGTAAATTTTATAACTGGCAGAAGGATTTTAAGAGCTGTTTCCCACTCAGTTCTCACTTTACTCCAACATATACCTTGTTTGTTTCTCTACATACCTGTACCTTCATCTCTGGAAATGAATCTTATGCTGCCGTTCAGTGGTGGACAGTAATTACGTACATTTACTCAAGTACTGTACTTATGTACAAATGATTATATTCTGTTCATGCCACTTTTTGTGTCTCCACCAAACTCAGACTGAGAGATTGTTCTTTTTTCTTCACTACAACAGCTTTTGTTACTTTACAAAGTAAGCATTGTACTACATATGAAGAGTTTATAAAATATAATGTTTTGTAATTAATTTAATTACCCAACAGTTTATTCAAGCACAGCTGAAACAATTAGTTGGTTGAAAAAAATGGTTTTATTGGCAGCTGTTTTGATCATTTGTCATTTTTCATGTCAAAACATTTCATCGTTCCAGCTTCACAATTAATTATTTAAAAATGTTGATGTAGTGTTAATAATATTGAGGTTTGGATTGACATGACCTGACCAATTGTTCACAAATGGATAAACATGGCAACGACATGTCAGATCCAGTCCTTGTTAGGAAAAGTGTTCCACAAGGCTCAGTTTTGGGACCCTTGCTTTTCCTAGTTTACATTAATAATATTTGTGATGTTTGAATTCTGTAAGGATCATCTGTGTGCAAATGACACAGTTCTGTACTCCTGTGCCCCCACAGCAGAGTTGGCCTTTTCAAATGTGCAGGCAGATTTTTATACCCTGCAATATGCTCTGTCAGATATGAAGTTAAATTCCCACAAAACTAAAGTTATGATTTTTGCCACTGGGCGAACAAAGGTACCACCCCTCTCCATCACGACCCTGTATGGAGTCTGTATCCAGTCTGTTGATAATTACAAATATCTGGGAATCCGGTTTTACAAAAAACCTAAATTTTAAATACCATGTTGATTATCACGTTGACTTTTCTGTATAGGTGAAAGTCCTGCTTTTCCATGGCTTCAGAAAAACACTTAGTTGTGGCCTTTTTCTGCCACAGATTGATTATAGGGACACTACCTACAGGTTTGCCTCTCTGTCCACCTTGTCCAAACTTGACCCCCTTTATCACTCAGCTCTCAGATATACATTATTGTATATTGGACAGACTGGAAGGATGGTCATCCCTTCACTTGCAAAGATATGTTAGGTAGACTTCCAAATTATTTAAACAGGACATTTTTAACTTTACAAAGCAGTCATAATCTCAGGTCACATAATGGGCTACAGTTTAAAGTGCCTGCTATCAGAACCAGGGCAGGTACTCAAAGTATAAAAGGGGCACATGGAACAAGGATTTAAATAGGGCTGTTCTCAAAATATTGATACAGAATATATCGTTATGTATTCCTTGCTGATATGCGTATACTGATGCTTCTGTATTGATACATCAGCAAATGGTATGACACAGTTTTGAAAAAGAAACACAGGGAATACCCAGCTCTTGCTTTAAACACTGTGGGCTGTTGATGGTGTTGCTGGGGATGTTGCTGCTGATACTACTGGTGGTGATCTGTGACTATCGATATTATAACAAACTTAGGAGATATTAGCTGATTAAACAAATATGTGACCATGACAAGATGTAAAGATTGCTGACAGTATTTGGAACTGGCTCACAGTGACTGACCTGCTGTAGTGCTGCAGCCGCTGCCAAGGCTGACTGCTACGATAAAATAAGAGGGAGATGGTCACAGAGACTGCTGCACACCAAAAGCTGCAGGTAGAGGAAATAAGATACCAGGTTCAAAACTGTGTGGGAAATGATCTGAGAAGGATACAGTACTGGGAGAAAGGACGAGGTGTGTGCGTGTGTCTATAGGCAATATTTTGATAATGATATATTTCACTGTGACATTTGGAATTCTTTATTACATTTATTTAATCTTGCTTTAGCATATAAAAAGCATTCAAAATATATTTTCATGTCTGCCATCTCCTTTTACATGTTGCTACGTCCCGAACCCCATTACCCATAAACGTGAAATAAAAACAAATAAAAAAAATAAAAATAAAGGAACAATTACTAAAATAACTGACAATGAAAATAATAATTTGAAAACCTTTCAAAACAATTATTATATTTGATTCTATTCTGACTTTCCACTGGTTGTCCTCTGTTCGTGGCATCCATCTATCTCTCACTTTCACTATCTCTCTTTCACTATCTGTCTTTCAATATCTGTCTTTCACTGTCTATTTTGCTATCTCTCTCTTTTAGTATCTCTGTCTTTCACCGTCTATCTTTCACTCTCTTTCACGGTCTATTTTTCACTCTCTTTGTCTTTCACTATCTCTCTATTTCACTATCTCTTTCACTATCTCTTTCACTGGCTCTGTCTTTCACTATGTATATCTTTCACTATCTCTGTCTTTCACGGTCTATCTTTCACTCTCTTTGTCTTTCACTATCTCGTTCACTATTTCTCGTTCACTATTTCTTTCATTATGTCTTTCATTATGTCTTTCACTATATCTTTCAATATCTCTATCTCTTTACTATCTTTTCTGTATCTCTTCACTATCTTTCACAATTTCTTTCAGCATCTCTGTTTTTAACTATTTCTTCTTCACTACCTCTTTCACTGGCTCTGTCTTTCACTATGTCTATCTTTAACTAATTCTGTCTTTCACTATCTCTTCAGTATCTCTTTCACTATTTCTCGTTCACTGTTTCCCTCATCTCTTTCACTATCTCTTTCAATATGTATCTTTTCCGTATCTCTTCACTATCTCTGACTTTCACCATCTCTTCAGTATCTCTTTCACTGTTTCTGTCTTTCACTATCTCTTTCACTATCTCGGTCTTTCACTAGCTCTTCCGTATCTCTTCACTATCTCTTTCGGTACCTCTCTTAAATTATGTCTTTAACTCTCTTTTTCACGGTTTCTGTCTTTCACCATGTCTATCTTTCACTATCTCTGTCTTTCATTATCTCTTTAGTATCTCTCTTTCACTTGCTCTATCTTTCACTATGTCTCTTTCTCTATCTCTTTCGCTGGCTCTTTCTTTCACTTGCTCTATCTTTAACTATATCTGTCTTTCACCATCTCTTCAATATCTCCTTCACTGTTTCTGTCTTTCACTCTCTCTTTCACTATTTCTTTCCCTGTCTGTGTCTTTCACTATCTCTTGTTCATTACCTTTCACTGGCTCTGTCTTTCACTAGGTCTATGTTTCACTATCTCTTGAGTATCTCTCTTTTACTATCTCTATCTTTCACTATCTCTTTCACTATTTCTCTTTCACTGTCTCTGTCTTTCACTATCTCTTTCACTTTCTCTGTCTTTCACCATCTCTCTTTCACTCTTTCACTATGTCTATCTTTAACTATCTCTGTCTTTCACCATCTCTTCAGTATCTCTTTCACTATCTCTGTGTTTCACTGTCTTTTTCACTGGATCTGTATTTCACTATCTCTCGCCCAAAGCCTTAAAGCCAACCAACCCCGTGACATTGCAGGTTATCGTACTGCACAATGGTGGCGCCCTTTCAGTGAAAGATATGACAGTTCTTCTTTTCTTTTGTCTTTTATACGTTTACATTTGTCATGTTTCTTGTATAATTGTTGATCGTAGTGGAAATCCATTGTGTAAATGATGTAAACTTGATTGACTGCTTCATTTCCCTTTAAGGTCTCAATGCCATCATTGTTCCAAACAAGTACAGTTTTACTTGTGCTGTCCTGCTTTTGAGCAGGGACTTGTAGGTGGGAATTAAACGGACATTATGGTGAGAGGTGCAAATGGGGGTTTAGTATTACAGTCTACATATTGCTTCAAACCAGGCAGCACAGCTTAAAGCTTGCAATGGTTACAGTCACCAAGCATTTCAATTGTCTGTGAAAACAATCTGCTGGAGTAGTATTGGAGATACTTTGAAAATAAGTAAGTTTAAACAGTGTGTGACTCCCTTTAGTGGACGTTGTGGAGTATTCTGTTGTCTTTGCTCCAAAGGTTTTTCAGCAGAGTCTGTCACTGCAGCAGAGGAGATCTGCAGATGAAACTCCTTTGCTGTTTTGTCATGTTTAAAAGAAAACCCTGCTTTCTATGAATAATCTGCAAGGAAAAACTGTGGAGATGAACTGGACTTCTGTTGATACCAGAAGAAGTAGTCGAAAGATCCTGAATAGTTGCAGGAGAGAGTCACAGAGTCTCCTTCCAAAGCCAGCATTACATCTTTAAATGGTTTCACTAAATCCTCAGAGGATCCTGAAAAAGACAATTATGATATTTATATTACTTTAAAGTGAGAGAGAAACACTTGAGAATATGCACAACTGAAATGTTTTCTGAGTCATGTTTAAAATCTGCTGTTAAATTTCACTCACCAGTGTGAAACATGAAGATGATCATCTAAACTAAGCAGAGCTGCATCATTTCCACTTGTACTGAATGAACAATAGAGAGAACACAGCAGCTCTTCACTTCCAACATGAAGCCTTTCATATTCAGTTGTGGAGCTCCTCCTCTTGCTGTGCTCTGTTTCCATTCAGGCTGATGGAAGCTTTAGAAATGACAGTGATGCTGCAGTCATCATCATCCAAGAAGGTCAGACTGAAGGAGAATCTGCAGGAAACTGAAGGAATCTGGACACAAACACCTGTCTTTCCCTTCAAGGTAGAATTAATACAATCAAAATGAATGTGTTACCGCGTCTCAACTTTCTATCGTTTATGCTGCCGCTCTGTCCCCCTCCAAGTTATTTCAAAGATATCCACTCTATGGTTTCCAACTTCATATGGGATGAGAAACGGCCCAGAATCCGCCTGACCACACTGCAACGACCCAAACTGTTGGGAGGTCTGGCTGTACCAAACTTTGAACTCAGCTCCTGGGTTGACTCAGGGTCCACAACTGCATGGAAAAGGATTGAAGCTACTAAAGTGATGCCACACAGACTGCACAATATTCTGTCCTCTAGTATAAATACTAAAATAATTAAGAAGTTTGGGCCCATCATTGCAAACTCTATACGGGTCTGGAGGAAAGCTGAACGTTGGATGGGAGGCCCACTGAAATACTGTCAGAACACTCCATTATGGCATAACCCGACTCTATTATGTGGCAGCCGACCATTCACCCAGCCTTCTTGGTCATCCCTGGGAATAAATGAGTTTGGGGACATGTATGAGGCCCATGGTCTTCGTTCCATCCGAGACTTAAGGACACAGTTCCCTCTCCCTGCGTCCTCCTATTTTGTATACTTTCCACTAAGAGCAGCCCTGGAAGCATATGGACTTCCCTGGAATTCTCCCCTCCCCTCACACCTCATGTTACGATGGGTTGTGCCACTACTGGGAAAATCCTCCGTGTCCATCATATATAATAAACTAACTGAATTCAGAGCAAAGAATTTGCCAATAGAAGCCATCTGGAACAGGCAGCTGGGAAGCTTTGACATAACTCTAGACTGGAACAGGGTGTGGTCCAATCTTAGTATGACTTCTAAGAATTTGGCACACCAATTAATTCACTCCTAAACAATTCACAGAGCATACACTACAGCCTGTAAGAGATTTCGGATTAGAGACTACAGGCTACATATGTCACATATGCCACAGTACTGCACCTGGAACATTTCTACACATGTTCTGGAGCCGTCCTGTTATCTCTCAGTTTTGGTATCATGTAAACTCTGCTTTATCAGAAATACTTGATATTGCTTATGTTCCTAATCCTGCTTTTTGCCTCCTTTAATGATGGCTCTGACATTCCCTTGAAGCAAATTCCCTATAAAATGGTATTTGCTGGGTTTACCTCTGCAGAGAAAACGATTATTAACCGCTGGTTTTCCCCTGATGTATGTATGAAATCGTTCTGGGTCTGCAATCTTGTTAACATTGTCAATCTGGAACTACTGCACGACTCAACAAGGCTCGGCCAGCAACTGTAGAAGCCTGGAAAAACTTTTCATCTAATCTTGTTTTTTGGGAAAGAGTTAGTAGTTGAGGGGCTCTATTGTACACCTGCCGAATTACTTCACGGTAATATAACCCCTTGTGATGTAAGGTATTTACATTATACCACTGCTGTAATAGGTGTCCTTGTTCTTGTATTATGTCTGTACCCCCCCACCCCCACCCTCATACCAATAAAATGTTGATCACAAAAAAGAAACACCTGTCTGAAACATCAGAAAGCTCTGACTGCAAACTGCCCTTCATAACATTTTAGCCATTATTAACTTCTCTCTGTCTACTGGCATTTTCCCCCCCACTGATTTTTCTTAAAGAAGCTCTCTCTGCATCCTCTTGTTATGAATCATTTTAAACCCATCTCTAAGCTGCCATTTCCAAAGAAATCAGTTTAGAAGAGACAATATTTCCTAAAATCTTATATTCATTTTAGAAAGTATTGTGTATGTAGTATGTAGCTGCAGTTTCAGGACCGCAATCCTGGGACCGGAACTGCATTTCTAGGACCCTGGTTTACTTTGATATACAGCCAGCCAGCCAGCTAGCTATGCTACTCTTGACAGCCCCCTGAAGCCAATTACCCTTAAATTAGTTAAAAACTAACATCATTCAGCAACACAGTAAATATACAGAGAAATATGCTATGAGTGAAGAAAAGTGATTAATTGATAATTTGTTTGTCTTCAGAGCCAAAATGTCAGGTTGTATAAACCAGTTTATATTTTAGGAATAAAACAGCAGTGGAGAGAGAGGACGTCCTTGGTGTTTGTCTCTCAGCTTTTAGAAGTTTTAGGATTTGTTGTGTGATTCTCTCTGAAAGTTTAACAGTGTGTGACTCCCTCTAGTGGACGTTGTGGAGTATTCTGTTGTCTTTGCTCCAAAGGTTTTTGTACAGAGTTTTGGTGTTTCCTGTCACTGTGGGCTGCAGAGCACAGTAGTACACAGCAGAGTCAGACAGCTGAAGCTTCTGGATCTTCAGAGGAACTGATCTTGAGGTGGAATCCAGTGTGGATGAAAATCTCTCCTTAAACTCAGCCTCTGTTTTTACTTCGACCCCTTGCATGCGGCTCAACATGAATTTGGGGCTGTTGTTTCCATCCTGTTTGTACCAGAACAAAGTTGGACCTGGGTCACTGGTCTCAAAAGTACAGCCAAGTGTAACTGTGTCTCCTTCAGCAGCAATGACATCTCCTGCTGGCTGGGTCACTCTGTCTTCTCCTTTACACTCTGGGGAAGAAGAGAACATGCAGAGGAAGAGATGGATCAATAAAGATGATTGATTAAAGGAGAACAATCAGTAGGTTTAAAGAGTTACCTAGCCAGAGAGTCAGAATCAGGATGTTTCTCAGCCAGTGGTTCATGTCTGCAGTGAGAGGGGAGGAGAGAGAGGAAGAACATTGATACTCTGATGGATCTGGGCCTTCACATCATTGGCCCTTCCTCTTCATCATCTGTTGTCTTTTCTGACCTTGAGTCTCAGTTTTGCTCCTCCCTTAATCCCTCCCTCCTTCCTCTCACAACTCTGACAAATGTGAGTTTGTCTCTGCTGTGGTGCTGTAATTCACTACATGACATCATTTCCATCAGTTAACAAGAAGCTGATAAGGTAAAACTGGTTGACTCTTGACAGAACATGTGAAGGTCCTGACTGAGGTCAATCTTTAGACAGACGATATACAACTATTCAATTACACATGACAGCCACATTAATTACTTATTCAATACATTACTCAAACAGTACTATTCACATTATTACATTTGTGTCACATTTTAGGACAGATCATATCATGAGACGTCTTTACAAAAATAAATTGAGTAAACTAGATGTTAAGCTCCAGACAGGAAGATTGTTTGCATATGTCAAATTTTCCTTCTATCGTTTCATGCTTGATCATTACTTGGTCATCCATGAATTCTGTTCTGTTCTGTAAACAATTTAATGGACCATCATCTCCAGACTGGATCCTGTATATTTGACCAAGGGCATCGTAGTGGGGGGTGAAAGCATTTAGCAATTATAGTCATTGCATAGAAGTAAATGTTGAAAAAAGGTTGAAATGTGTTGACATTTCGGATGACATGTGTGTTGGAGGGGGGTTTTGGGGGGTGGGGGCAGTGGGTAATGGGGGTGGGGCACAGGGACTGCTTACAGAATTTGTGCAACGACCCGGTATATCTGACAGATGCTGAGTCAGAGCCTTGACATCATGTGTTTTTACAGAATGGACATTTTAATTATTTACTCCTTAAGGATCAAACAGCAGTGGAGAGAAAGGACTTCCTTGGTTGAGAACTCTCAGCTATTAGGCTGCTGATAGTCTCTCTTTATATAAACACCATCCAACATCATTATCATCCTTTGTCGGAATTGATTTAAAATAACATTTCAGAACTTGTAGTACCTTCCACATGCTGCTGCTGCATTGTTTTGTTTTGTTTAATCACCAGCACCACAAATTCAGATCATAAACCACTGAAGTTTAACAGTGTGTGACTCCCTCTAGTGGACGTTGTGGAGTATTCTGTTGTCTTTGCTCCAAAGGTTTTTGTACAGAGTTTTGGTGTTTCCTGTCACTGTGGGCGTCACAGCACAGTAGTACACAGCAGAGTCTGTCACTGCAGCAGAGGAGATCTGCAGATGAAACTCCTTTGCTGTTTTCTCATGTGCAAAAGAAAAACCTGGTTTCTCTAAATATTCTTTGATGAGAAACTGTGGAGATGAACTGGACTTCTGTTGATACCAGCAGAGGTTTTGTACAGAGCCTGAATAGTTGCAGGAGAGAGTCACAGAGTCTCCTTCCAAAGCCAGCATTACATCTTTAAATGGTTTCACTAAATCCTCAGAGGATCCTGAAAAAGACAAAGAGACATTTATATTTCTTTAAAGTGAGAGAGAAACACTTGAGAAAATGCACAACTGATATTTTTTCTGAGTCATGTTTAAAATCTCATGTTAAATTTCACTCACCAGTGTGAAACATGAAGATGATCATCCAAACTAAGCAGAGCTGCATCATTTCCACTTGTACTGAATGAACAATAGAGAGAACACAGCAGCTCTTCACTTCCAACATGAAGCCTTTCATATTCAGTTGTGGAGCTCCTCCTCTTGCTGTGCTCTGTTTCCATTCAGGCTGATGGAAGCTTTAGAAATGACAGTGATGCTGCAGTCATCATCATCCAAGAAGGTCAGACTGAAGGAGGAATCTGCAGGAAATTCACCTGAAGGAATCTGGACACAAACACCTGGCTGAAACCTCCAATCTGCAAACTGTACACAACTTCTGTTGGAGCCCGAAACCTGGTTAAACTTAAAGATCCCCACTACCCATAATGCTCCTGTGAATCCTCCCCCAGTGTTTCATTAGCAGCTGTAACCACAGTGACTCTGATAAAACGGGAATTAGCAGAATCCATCTGATATGAAGCTGTGGTTTGAATACCACTTCCCTCCTCTTTGAAGAGTAGTCAGATATCTGGGTTCAGGTTTTTGTACAGCCTCTTCTACACTTTGTATCACTGTGTTTCTAGAGCACAGTAGTAGAGAGCTGTGTCTGCCAGGGTTAGATCTCTGATGGTCAGTGTAGTTGATGTTGCTGATGTTTCAGATCCATATCTTCTATCAGGAATATGTTCGTCACCACTGCGTGATTTTGCTCCTTTCCAGAGTATAAACTGAGGTGCCTGAAGGTCAGAATGATGTTTGTACCAGTGAAGGTCAATATAGGTGTCATTGTCTGATAGTTGCATGTGAGTGTGACAGATTGTCCTTCTCTTCCACTGACTTCCTCTCGTACAGGAGAGATTGTGTCTCCAGCTGTTAGTCCTGGAAAAAGTAGAGCAAATGAAGCCATTAGACTAACATTGTTCATGAGGCTGAGAGGAGAAGACAGTGGAAAATGGCAGCTGTACAGTGTTACTCTGTGGACACAAACAGCTCAGCTGTTTCCATAAATCTTTAGAAAAGAATAAAAAGATGTTGTGCTTTCTATCTTACCAAAGAAAAGAGCAGCAAGAATAATCCCCAGCCAATGTTCCATCTCTACAACAAGGTTTAAATCAACAGGAGAAACTAGCTGATGTTCAACATTCAGTCTGAGAATTGTTCTCTTCACAGCAGCAGTTATTATTGACAGAATGGTTGAACACAGTGCAGAAGTAGTGCACCGCCTACTTGATAATGTGGCTCAGCTTGGATTAACAGCAGCTACAGTGTCATCTAGTGGCCAATCAGAATCAGACCACAGAAGAAGAAAAGACGCCACTGAAACTTCAGACTAGTCCAGCAGCATAATCCAGTTGTCAGCTGATGATCTGTTTGTTCAGCGTTTTCCAAACTCAACATAGTTAAAGACTCTACTTCTGTGCTGCGTTATCACCTCCCCACATCTCTGAAGTTGTGGATTTACAGCAGCAATTAACAAAGTGACGCTACAAACTGTTGAGTCACCTTTCAAGCTTACAGGTGGAGAGGATTTGATAGTGAAACGAGACATTTTCACTGGAATATTCCTTCAGACTAACAAAACCCACATCTGGATGCTGAGATCAGGTCTAGTTTCTGAGTACAGTCCAGTATCACATACAGAGTCTCACTGGGTTTTACATCCAGCATCATCAGTGAAGACTCCCCATACTGTCCTGCCTTAACATGGAGGAAAACTGATGGAAACCTCAGGACAGGAAGTTCAGGGAGACCAAGATGTCGGTGTGTTAAGATCATCAGGAATTTAAACAATATCTTATCTACATAAATAACATCACTCTCCTTATTGTCAGTATGTCAGAGCTACAAACACTCTCCTTTTATTGTCAATGCCTCATTTTTCTTCTAGTTTTCATCATCAGTGCAATGAATCCAGACTGTATGATAAACTGAAGTTTAACAGTGTGTGACTCCCTCTAGTGGACGTTGTGGAGTATTCTGTTGTCTTTGCTCCAATAATGGAACATGATGTTATGTATTAAAAATAATTTGATCAGAAGGCAACATGTAGATAGAAAATGAGAGGACCTAGGATTGAACCCTGTGGTACACCACAAGAAATCACAGCCTGAGAGAAAAACTGAGAAAATACTTTTATAAAGACGAGAGTCTGTGATGCCAACCAGTTTATAGACATACTTCTTTCAAACTGTGAACATGCTTTTCTCCAATACTGGAGTACAACAGTACATACAGTATATTGACAGTAATACATGAATTTGTTCAAGTTGAAATAAATCCAGACTTCATCATCACACTGAAGTTTAACAGTGTGTGACTCCCTCTAGTGGACGTTGTGGAGTATTCTGTTGTCTTTGCTCCAAAGGTTTTTGTACAGAGTTTTGGTGTTTCCTGTCACTGTGGGCTGCAGAGCACAGTAGTACACAGCAGAGTCTGTCACTTTAGCTGAGATGATCTGCAGATCCATTTGGGTTTTATCATCACTCACTGTAACAGACAGTCCAGGGATTGGATCATTTCCTACTGCTCCTGAAGCAGAGTGGGAGATGAGGAACTCTGGTGGTTTTCCTGGATATTGTCGATACCAGAAGAAATAATCACTACCAGTTGCTTTTTTAGAGTATGTGTAGGACAGAGTAACAGAGCTGCCTTCTAAAGTGAACTCTTCATTCCTGACTGCAGTGAGTTCTTCACAGCTGACACCTGAAGGAAGAGATAACTCTGTTATTTCATGTTGTAAAAGACTCAACAAATGAATCCCATCCAGAAAAGTTAGTAATGAAACTTTCTCAGCAGGATCTCACATACCTGTTAGAATGGATAGTAACAGTAGAGAAAGTACATAATAGTCCAATGACAGCATGTTGAATAAAGGGAATGTTTCTGCTTTGTGTATTGAACTCTGCTGAATATGGAAGTTCCTCTCTCTTCTATAGTTCACTAACAGCTTAGCTCCTCCCTCAATCTCTCCGTCTCCTCGCAGCTCTGGATTTTCACTTCCTCCTGTTAACAGACTGGTAGCAGCAGGTTGTATAATCTTTTATAAGCATAGTTCAAAGGATGGATCATCTTTTCAGGATTTGCAAACACAAGGACTCAATTGAAGTCAGCTGATAACTGAACAAAACCTCACTACAGAATCTTGTATCCAGAGTATTTATGCTGAACATCAGTGAGCATCTTAGCAAAGTTTGATTTCAAGTGGTTGACAGGATTTGAGGGGCCAATAAAAGGATCTCACTTCTAGACTCACTCAGTTGTAGGAAGGTCCGGAACAAGTGCACTTCACATGTAATGAACCAGCTGCCATGATTATTGTATTTGAATATGATGCCGTATCTGTACAAACATCTTGATCAACACCATGAAGTCCAAGTTGACACAGGAAGTGCAGTCGTCGTTGTAATCTGCTACAGAGACTGTCCACATGGATGTTCCAGGCTAGGTTGGTTATTAGTCAAAATTATAAAGGCAACCCTTTTGTTTTTGCCCCCATTCATCATGAGCTGAACTCAAAGATCTAAGACTTTCTC